ATTTTATATATAAATGTTCTAAATATCCTTTGGGAGTCCATTTGTTTTTATCTTTCCAAATGATGACTAAATACCTGATCTGTAGCATTTCTCCTGAGAAGATACTAGTAAGGGAATGACAGTTTTGATGCACTTTGGAATGGCACAATCACGTAAACGCTTGCACAATTAAGACTTATGAACTCATCCAAAGTTTCTAAACGTGATATCCTAACTAAGAACTAAAATGCCAGCACAATGCAGCAAGTTAAAAAAGAAAATTCTATGTAATCAAAATATAAACAAGTACATAGGAAATGGATATCTGTCAGTAAATCTATATCTTTTTAAAATAGGAAACGTATGCACTTAAGAAAAAAAAAGGTAGCTATCTGACAAACTTTGTAAAAAAAGAACTTTCCAAATGCACAACAAATGCCAAGATATCCCGTAACTGGCCAGGTATAGCCGCATGAGAGCTGCAAGGCTTAGAGCAACCCAGGGAGGGGTGGGGTGGAAACAAACAAAAATCACAAAAATAATAGATCAGCAAGTCTAGGGGAAAAAAATAATAAAATCACATCATCATCTAAATTACTGTATGCTTATATCACAACTGCTAATGGAGCTGGGGGCAGGGGGTTGGGAAGAAAGAAAAAAAAAGAGATTGCAGTTTAATGATTCTTAGAGTTACCTCTAAAATTTCAGAAGAAAATATATCAACTTAGTATACTAATCCTAAGCACCAATTTAATAATTTAAATTAACTGCATTTATAGTTCTCCTACTAGTGATGGAGCAAATTCTGCTTGAAGGCTTAAAGTTTAACTCTGGAGCCCATCTGACTTCTGTGTTCTTGCCACACTTTCTCTGCCATTCACATCAAAGTCACTATAAAGACTCTAAGTTTCAAACTCTTTAGGCAAGCAATTCTTTGAAGAGACAACTCCGTCCTACAGTTTAAAACAACTTTCAGGTCATGAAGAGTGAAACACGCCAGTATTTGGTTAGTCAGGTATTAAATAGTCTGTGAAAATGGAACAGCCAACATCGTTCCTCAACAGGATTTGTCTTAGAACTAGCAGCACCCAGGGCAGACCAACTGCGAACACATCCAGATCCCACTAGGAATTAGTAGTGTTAGAAAATTGCATATGTGTTAGAACAAGAAGGCATTGCCATACATGTGGCATCATTACATTGTTTTTCCCCTATTTTCCTCATTAAGAAAAAACAAAGGAAAACAGCCCTAGAAAGAGCTTTTTGGTTGTTCTTGTTTGTTTGTTTGTCTTTGTACCTGGAAAAAGCAGAACAGTACTCTCCAGCTGGAACAGCTCAGTGCTTCCCATCAGCTAATTTCTTTCAGAAAGCACTTCCACATAGTTGAGGTGGTTTACCTCAGCTGATCCTCAGAGCTAACCATTTTTTCCAGTATACATTTCATGCCACTTCCTGACAGCAATTTCAGAACCGAAATGGGTCTATGGTAATGTCCACTACTAACTGTGACCAGATCTGACACAGACCATCAAGCCAGGCCCTTGGGATGGTTCCACGCATTGAACTGAAGCTCAGACTAAAAATCTCACTGAAACTCAAAAAGCTGGAGTGGTCATGAATCTCAGCTGCTTCGCCCTATTTGAACCCTCACGCTGTAATGAAAGCACGCACACCAAGGGAAAATAACAACCGCCTGAGCTGGGAGCATTAAGACACCGGTGAGTTATCTTGCTGCTCTTCAGTGACCGTGGATTCACTGTGCTCTTCACTCGTCTCGTTTGAGGGCTCCTCATAGCCCGGCTCAGCGGGATCCAGGCTGCTTCCCTCGCTTTGCTCCTCGCTTTGCTCTTCACTGGCCTCCGCAGACTGCTCCAAGTTGCTCTCCAGAGAAGTCGGAGAGCTGCCAGTTACACTTTCATTTTGGTTCATTTCGTTAAAAGGCTGTATGAGAGGTGCAGGAGACTGTACAGCATTTTCGTTGGCAGGGATGGGCACTTTGGTTGCACTGATGTCTACGACAATGTCATTTTGTGGTAGAGTTACCTTCTCCACAAGTTTCCACTGAATAATACTCATGTCTTTCCCTCCAGTTGAAATCAAGTGACCATCGCTATGGGTGAAGCTGACATTTGTCACATGACTACTGTGAGCACTGTATTTGTGACTTGGAGCCTGTTGAAAACAAGCAGAAAGATAAATCACATGCTTGACTAGAAGAGCACACAATACCAAAATCCAAAGCTACTAATACTTTTGTTTAAGCCTTTCAAGAGAGGTCTTTACTCATGTAAGAGTAAAGAATTGTATTATCCTCCTCCCCTCCCAATCTGTAACTTGGGACATACTTAGATCTTGATTCAAAGAGTAATGGACTTAACACCAAGGTCAGCCAAGAGAAAGCATCAAGCCTCTGCTCCAGAACTTAAGGATAACTATTGCTACTTCACTTGTAGGTATATTATTTTATACTTTATATTATTTTATATTATATATTTTTTATATAAACTTCATGGGGAAAACCAAGCTATTGTCTCTAGCACTGTTCTCAAATAGAAATGAGCCATTTGGCTGACAGATTCCAAAATGACCTAGCTGGAAGCAGGTGTCTGGCAAAGAAAGCTTCATGCAATGCAAACAAGCACATAGACTAGACCGGTCTAGACTCACCTTTGGCTTGGAACAGGGATACTGAAAGAGATGGACCTTACAAAAATCATCAGCAACTGCTATCACTTTTCGGTTATGGGATCTGACGAGGGCATTTATGTCTGTCCCATCTGAACCTTCAGGCCAAACTCCTAAGAGAGAGTAGAGCAGATATTTGGTGATCATAATTTTAGAAACAAAAGACAATCTATGAACAAAAATAAAATCTATAAAGCTGTGAGAACAGGCAAGCTTAACAAAAGGTAAATAAGACATTGAACTGGAAAATGACTGCGTATTGCATTAAATATCATTAATATTTTGCTAGTTTAATGTCACTCTCCCACCCCTTGTCCTGCCAAACCCCCAGGTCTCAGCCAGGATAACTTCTTGGGCTTACATTCCCTGATCAAAACCACAGTCGTGTTTAAAGCTTGTTGTATAATTAGGTTTGCTGCTAAAGCTGGCAATTCTTAATTTAATACTTTCATTTATGCACAAATGTTTTAAAAGCAAGGTTGATGCTGAAGCATGGAACACACCCAGGTACTATGTGCCCAGGCACTCACTATGCAGAGATTTCTTTTGATTTCATTTTAAATCTGGAGCCACTTCTAGTATTTGCATGATTCAAAGGAGACAACTGCTTGATGATACTTTGCACAGAAACTCAGCCTATACAAGTTTCATAGACCTAAGTGCTGTCAAGTACTTAAGTACAATTCAGTATGCTTGTACATGAAAAGAATGACACAGATATGTCTAGACAAAAGAATAACAACATTACCTGGATGAAAAGCACTGAACATATTGGGGAGCGGGAAGGCTCTAATTTTAACAAAAAATATAAACCTTAGAGATTCCCATAACAAAACAGATGATTCACATCTGCAAGAAAAGCTGAACAAAGGTAAGCGAGGGGTTGTAAGATACTAATTTATGCCAAAGACTCGATATGTTTACAGCTCAGCCTTGGGTTTCTGATTAGTTCAGGAGTTAGGACCTCACCCCCCCTCAAATTTCACAGATTGACTGAAAGGGATGCCCATATCAGATATAAATACATCTTCTTCTTCCCTTATGATCACTGACTTTAGTAAAATAAAAAACCTGTGCTGTCTACCATTTTATACAGCTCAAAATGTCAACTTAAGAGTTGCCTCAACTTTTTCAAACTCCCACACTCTCTCTTCTTGTTTTTAAGCAAAATGGCAAAATAGTGTTTAACTTCAAAGTTGTTTTCTTCCATTCTCAGTGGGTGGAGTAAGAACTTTACTTTTTCTGAAGAATAACAAAGGCAGCTATTTAAGCTTGTTACAATGTCAATAAACTACATTGTAGGTAATTTACTAAACAGACATGAAGTGCTAAGGGAAAGTATTCAGAAACATTTTAGCGCTCTTGCATCAATGAAATCCATCTGAAAAGCATATAGTGTTTAAGGATTTTCAAGTAGCTCAAAATGAATGAATTTTAACTTTCTCCTGCATTCTATATATAAAATACTGTTTGTCCTCAGGAGTAATAAATGAACTTCAAATCTGTTTCCTTAAGTTTCAGCTACCGCGTTAGGCAAACTGTGCCAAACAGCTATGCTATTTCCTCTTCTTTTTAATTTAAGATTAGAAAGACTAATCAGGATTGCGTCTCTTATTAAACATCGTTAGTGTTGACAAATTCCTTTAGCAGCTCTACAGGTAAGACAACCCTTTGTCATAAGACAACAGGATTTGCTTTCAATGCCTCAGGCAAATAGGGGAAAAAATAAGACATTAATATGACCAAGTTCTTAGTTCTTAATAACTGCAAAAATAACAAAAAATACAAAATAATAGGACTTCGCTATTAGGTATGACAACAGCACTTCAATTTTAGTAAATTCTGCTAGCCAGCACTAAGCCTCTGAAAAGAATCTGCTAAGATGAGTGTGGGAAATGTGCAGAGAGTGACTTCAAGTGCTAGGGGTGCAGACTTGCTGATACTGCTGAGCCAACACCGTAATATCAACTGCCAAAAAGGAGAGATGCTATTCTCATCCAAATGATGCATTTCCAGCCTCTTTCTTTTGCTGACACCACTGCAATGCCTGAACCTACAGACACACCATCCACTGAGCTGAATTAGTAATACACATACCCCAAAAGCCAAAAATCCCATAAACTTAACCTTCTCTCCTGCACATCAAAGGGAGGAGCCCCTGGCTTGTTTGGGTCCCTGAGCCAACTGACCCTCGGGTCAAAGCCAGACTTCTCCTTTGGGCAGCAAGTATCTGCTAGGTTGGCTTAGTTGCACTGTCTGATTTAATGGGAAAATACTTGCCTTTGTCTGAGATCAAGCCATAATTTCAAGATTCTCCAAAGGGTGTCAGACTACCACACAATGTAAAATTAAAGCATGATGAATTTTGGCTAGAAAGTTTAAATATGCTCTGTTCTGCCCCAGAATAACATCACATTATCTGCTTTATCTACTTCACTCCCAGGTTCTCTGGAACACTGAAGGTTTTGAGAGCTATTGAGAGTAATTAAACTTAATCCAGAGTGGTTAAAGTTTGTATTTATCCAAAAGTGAATGCAGATAGCATCAGCAGACTTCTCAATTTTTTAGAAACAAAAAGTAAAAAGGCTTCTCAAAACAGTGGTTATGGGAACTGCTCCTCTCCATACTGGCCCCAGTCACCAGTAACTTCCATCCAACAGCTGTTAAAGACACAAAGCCAATGGTCTACGTGGGAAACCAAATTCTTTCTGCACTCCCACACCTCATCTCCTTAGATCAGAAGTAAAGGACACTTCTGGGAAAGTGCTAGGATCCAGAGAGCAGAACTTTTCCCCTTGTTCTGTCTGCTCTACAACCAAACACAGTGGTAGGTAAAAGTTCAGTAGCAACAGAGACACTGTCTGCTACCTCCACGTTTCTGGTAGATTTAAGTACTCCACATAAAATGTAAAATGGCTTCAGCTCCAAGGCTATTCCAGAGGGTCCTTACAAAGTGTTTTCATTGCTTCTGGAGAAAGATGGCATATTAGCGTCAGAGAGTTTTGCTTTTCACTTTCTCTAGTGTCTCCCAAATCTTCTGATATTCCATTTTAAAAAGGGCATTTGTGTTGCACTATTATTTCAGTCGCAGTAGCAAAGACAGTGAGGAAATTTCTGCTGTGGACACATTCTTGTCAGCCTAAGCTTACATGCACAGAGTACCAGGAGGAGACAGCCACCCACTCTTTACTTCACCCAGACGTACCGAATAAAAACAAACACGTACTCAACTTGGTTCACAGTTCTCAGGCTAACGAGAGGAAGTATTTTCATCAAACTAGCCATAAGCAACATTATTCAGCTCCAGAAACAGCCCACTCCTGTTTATTTCTACTACCTACTTCAAACTCAAAAATATTTATGCACTTCATCAACCAGTCAGCTTCATTCTGACCACTTTATTTTCCCTGCTCTACCTCAGATCTTTGGTACCCAAAAAGGAAATCACACCTGGTTATAAAGCACCAAACTGCCCTCCACCCAACCAATATGCCACAGAAGAGTGTCAGTGTTGGCCCACAAACCAACCGCAATCCTTTAAGACTACTTGCTCATTACGCACCTGACAGTCCTAAAATATGCACGATAGGCATCAGAAGCTACAGAAAGCACTCAGACTTCACTGATTTTCTTCTACCCTGCATATAAACCAATATTCAAAGTTGAACTCCTAGTAGCTGTGATGAAATATGTGTAGACTTAACCCTCACCTCTAAAGAATTTGCTGATTTACTTGGTTTTGATGTTTCCAACAACATGAAGAACAGAGGCAGGTATCTGATCTCACTGTCAGAAGCAAGACTTTCAGCATTCTGCTCACACAACTTGGTTTTACAACACTGATAGGCTGAACCATACTTTTCAACCCCTCACAGAGGGTCTCCTAATTTATGGCCAACAGAGCTGCCTTCAGCAAAAGCTGTCTGAACTGTTTGGCCACAGTTCCCATTTTACTTCATTATTAAAATCGGATCTGTCAGCTTTGTAATTTTTTATGTACATTTAAAAAATAAACTACTAGGTAAAGAATCCATTTAATCTTTAAAACATTTTACTCTTCAGAACCCGAGTATATTACTGACTTTTGACTACCGGTATCAAAGTGCTGTCACGAGTTTAAGTCATGAACTATAATCTACATTCACACAGTCCTGTTCCTACCCCAAAACAAGGTAAGCAAAGGGCAGTACACGTGTCACATGAGCATTTTAAAATACCAGCTTTTTGCTATAGTGCCTCCAAAACTGGTAGCCTAAAATGACAGCAGAAAAATCAAAGCCCAAACTTCAAGACTAAATAAAAACCAATTATACATTGTCTAGAGAGCATCCTGTGCTCTGCATCACAGACAAGTCAGTCTCTTTCATCTTCTAAATAGCGCCAACCTCAGCAATCATTTACAGCATATTTTTAATGGCAAATTGACACAAAAGAAATACAAAAACACATAGCTTAAAAGCAAGGTCAGTGGTGCTTACCAAACACCTGGAAGCCTAGCACACAAGTGTACGTCGTCCAATCTATATCCTTACAGTCAGAACGATTCCTGATTAGCTTACAGCCACTTGGAATGTCCCCTGTAAAAAAAGTGAATGATGAGTTATGCCACATAATTTTATATTTATATATATGCTCTTTGAAGGTGCCGAGACAGTAAATAAATGCACCTTAAAACCAATCTGGAATCACACTGTAAAGGCAAAGACAGATCAGTACCTTTATCAAACTTCAGATATTTGAAGCTTCACTTGGTATTTGAGAGTCACGTTTACTTCTCATTTCCCTCCTCAGACCAGCGTACCTCAAAAACACTTCCCTGCAGCTTGGGTCCCCTGCTACCTACTCTACAGAATCTGTAATATAATAATTTGTTCTTCCTACCAGCTCCATTGATGTACTAAAATTCAATCATTCAGGAAGCTCTGCTTTTAAAACAGTGAAAAGCTACAGCCAGAGGAGCCTTAGACTGCTTTTCAACTTCTAACTAGGAAAGGAAAGATTGTTTCCCATAAGGATGTCCATCTTTCAATAAACCAGCCCAGTAATAATGGGTCAAAGCTCTTTGCTTCCCAGTACACGCAATTATAAACACCAACACGTCCTTCTGGTAGACTGAGATACTGCACTATCCAGCTTTGAATCCTAAGTTGTTATAGGCAGAAAGAAAACGGTAAGGTGACAGATATTGAAACTTGCAGGTCTTGTTTCTTGTACAAGAAACAAAACTACAATCCTCTCAGATCCTGTTAAAGCCAAGGGAAAACAAGAATACAAAAACCTGTTTAAAAACAGACTGATATGCACTATGCAAATTGAACTTGACAAAACCACTAAATTCATATGTAGACATACTAAAAAAAAAATCCCCGAGAAATGAAAGACAAAAACATTTTTACCACTAACTCATTTAAGTAGTATTATTGCTTTGCTTAGTTTTCAACATCACCAGTCAACATAAAGTTTAAAAAAAAGAAACCCCAGAACAGAACAGTGGCACAGACCCACTGATTTTATTCCCCCAAAATAACTGGTACTGTTGACAGTAATTAGACAACTGTATATATTATTTTCAATCTACAGAACTTTGGGCCAACAGCAACACACAGAGCCACTTGTTCTGTAAATTCTATGCTGTTAAACTGATTTATGACCTTGTAAAAAAAGTGAGCTATATTTGGCATGGCCATTAGGTAATACACAGCTCTGAATAACATCAAGATATCAGGTTACATGAGTTCAAATTGGTTCCTTTGTCAGTGAGCATTTTGTAGAGTCCTGATCAAACACGCTCTTCTACATGTTCTGACCGCTAATACACACTTCAGTTTCCAATTTATTTAATCTCATACTTACAGTATAGTATTTCATAGTCTCCTGAGTTTGACATTATATACTTGTTGTCCGGGGACCAGTCAAGGTGTGTAATATAGCTGGAATGTCCCTGGAGGAGAATGCAGTAACAGCAATGTGAAACAATTATTTTAATTCAAGCAAAAGCAGCGGTTGCACCCACAGATAGGGCAGCTAACAGCAAAAAAGACACCTCCAGGTCTGCCACAATTCACTTGTGCTCCTTTAAAGGCTCCTCACTCCCCAGTGCTATGCTTGCTAACAGCTACAAAAACACAGGCTGGGCTGGGCATTGTGCCTCTGTCACCGCATGGTGGATTCTTCACTTGTAAAAGGTGTTGTCCCTTTCACACCCAGGAATGATTTACTCCTAGAAGGTACTCTGCTAAATTACAGATGAAGTTGTATTAAAATTAAGAAAGTATGCATTCCTATTAATCGAGAAAGGTGAGTAATTTACTCAGGATTATTTTTAGATCCTATCGGAAAAGCAACAGATAGGACTCTATTTCCCTATCCATTCAAAATAATACCCATTAAATGCACATACATTCAAATAACTTTTGCTCATCCTAAAAACAGGATACCTCGGTTAACAACCACCATGTGTAAACCAACAATATTAAGTACTGGTGTTGCAAGTATGGCCTCGTAAGCATTTTGGAACTTTCTGCTGAGCTTCTTAAAACTGCATGCATGTTGGTGTCAGCTTTGGAAAGACTCTTCCCTATAGGCTCAGGGTCATCCATAAAAGAGTCAAAACACTTTGGCCAGACTGATTACTTATCACCATCAAGCGCACACTGTGGGATAAATACCTATCTCTGATTTTTGAGGGAGAAGCTAAATGCAGCTGGTCAGGACATTTTTCCTATGCACAATTTTTTTTGTTGGTAGTAACGACAACAGTAAAAATAAAGCTATGGGAGGCTCCAGAGAAGCCACAAATTTGTATAATGTAAGAATAAATTATTTTTCTGTAGAGGAAAGGGTAGGAAATTAATAAAAGTGATATCCATGTCGCACGTTTCTTCCTCTACCCTCCCATTTCTTCTTACTGCTTCTCTTCCCCTTGTAAGACCATCCACTTTCTTCCCATCTTAGTCACTGTTAGGCAACAAAACAACTTTTTTGACTGACAGATGCCAATTAATCTCCCTCTCTTGGTGGGCGTTATGAAGATGGTGTTCCTCAGCCCCTCACAAAGTCTCTTGGCTCAGTCTGCACCCGCTGTGCCAAGGCCTTGCTGGTGACTGTCCTGGCTGCCACACCACCCACCAAGCCAACATCCTCAATAGAGAGCTATAAGATATGCTGATTGCTTCCAGAATTATATGGAGAAATATATCCTGTGTTTATCTCCCTGTCCCCAGGTCCTCTGTGAGAGACTGCAAAGTGATTTAGAAGAAAAGTTAACCTTTAAGTTTTATTTACCTATGAACTAGTCTCTGCCTCAAGCAGAGGAACTCTGTATTGACATAACTACTTTGCAGTCATGGGTGGGATATATGATATTGACATGCAAAGTCGGTATTTTGGAAAAAAAAAAATGCACAATTGGCTAGGACTTTTTCTCTCCCCCCATATTTTCCAAGTCTTCAAATTTGCAAGCGAACTCCAACATGGAAAAGAATTGGTCAGTCATTTACTAAATCCTGCCAGACTTTTGGCAGCTGTTAAAATTCCTGGAGGCGGCGGGGAAGGGAACAAAGCAATTGGCCAGGGGGCTCTGTGCTGCAAAATCCCTTTCAGGCAAGCGATCACTGAATGATGAACTGTAACATAACATTGTTGTAATATTTTCAATAGGACGATCCCATTTTCTACAAAAATCTTTCTTTGGTAGATGCTTACTGATAAGACAACATTTTACTCTTTCCTCTTGTGTAGCTTTATTTACAATGAACATAATTACTCACATTTTAACTGGCTAGTAAAATTATCTGATTAAATGGAAACCCTCTCCTTCACTGGTAATGTTTATCTGTTTCAGAGTTAAGTTGTATAAAGGGTCAAAATGCCCACAGCCTATGGGATGTGCACACTAATTCTTTCAAGCGCAGTCTATCAAATACTTCAGCGTGGCTGCCCATGTGGCTTTCACCCCACAGCCCTCTCAGTAAATGCATGGCACTTGCTTCTCCTTTGCTAACAGATATCTCTGATGTAAGGCGAACAGACAGTGCCAGCTACCCTAGAGCTGCTGACATGCTGGAAGTTCATACCCCAGCCCATACCTTTGCATTTCTGTCTGCATAGCTGCAGTCCTCAAAAAACAGCTGCACTAGTCAAAACGGTTGTTTCGGCTCATCTGAAATTCTTTCTGATCACAACCAACACCAGCCCTCACTGTAGAAACATGCTCACAGTTCAGAGACTTGCCTCTCTGGCAGCAGCAGAAAGCCTGGTAGTGACTGGAAGGGGATTTAAATGTAAGAGGGGGCATACAGCCCTTATGCACAAGCTGATGCTGGTTCAGTAGATGAAATCCTTCTGAAAGTATCTGAATAACGTATTCAAGTTGGAAGAAACAACCAGAAGTTCACTACCAGGAGGACTGAGTCATACTACTTGGAGGTCACCCGCGAGGCTACTGAATGGCAGAGGAATGCCAGAAGGATGTGGTGCCAGCACCCAAGCAGTGGCCAGGAGAGTGCTTCGGGTCCCGAGCATGCCTGGGTGTCTCCCTGCTTAGCATCACGCTGGTAGGGACGCGTCAGCATGCTGGCAGGCAGCAGCGGGGAGGCGCGGGGCGTGTGAAACCCGATCGGCAGCGTTAGCTCCTGTCAGCCAACACGCTGCTGCCTTCTGCACACGCTGGAGGGTCAGGGGAGCTCACCCCTGACAGAAACCAGGTTGCTAATTTTGGCTTCTACACTCAGTCTGAAAAAAAAAAAAAGGTTAACAGAAATCTGCTTTGAAGCCTTAACACTTCTGCCAGTGCATAATAATGTTCATTTCTCCCATCTCAATTTTTACAAACCACTTTCCTGCCAAGGCAGAGGGACAAACGGACATACGGATGCTGGTTTAAATTACAATATGCTCTCTCCTGATACATAATACATATGTTATACAGAAATAAATTCTCTCATATATATTCAAAGAGCTCACAGAGACCTTGAAGTACATTAGCAAGCTAAATATTACACATGTCAAGATTAGCCATCTCTGTATGATTTTATCTTTTATGGTTAAAAATAATAAGTGATGGGGTGAAATGCTGTACTGGGGCACAGTTGTGAGCTGCTGCCCCCACCAGCCCCTCCCGGTCTCTGGCCTGACGTTCCTGTAGGTTCAGCTCTTTCCCCACCTCTTGAGCTCTCTGGGAAGGCAGCAGATTTGATTTCTCATGTCATGACCATTGTGCTACTGACTAACACCCTCACCACCCAGCTTGGGAGGCTGCAGGATGCCCTGGTTCCCCCTACACCATTATCCTGTCATGAAGAAGTCCCCAGCACACCCAACAGCCTTCCCTCCCAACCACATCCATGCCAGCACCAAGGCCTCCCTGCCAGCCTAGACATCGCAGGGATGGGGCAAACCCCACTGCTGCTGACTGCCGTGACAGCCCCATGTCCCCGGCTACAGCTGGACTCTGGCTGCTCTGGACCTCCATGCTCTAGCAGCGTGGGGCACCCTCAGCCAAGTGATGGGTAGAAATCTCTCAAAGACACCACACATTGCAATAGAGGACTGTCTAATGCCCGTTTGTTTCCCCTCTAACTAACAGTTTCTACTGCAAGTCTTGCATCAAAGATTGTAGAAGGAAAAAAGAAAAAAATCTTAGAAATAAATTAAAAAATCAAACCACAATTTAGGTTTAAGGTCCCCTTACCTCCCATTTTCAATTAACAAAGCAGCTTGAGAAGTTCTCTTATTTTTAAAACTAAATAAATGCAATTGGTGACAAACATATGAAAAATGTTTTGAGTGGTGGATGCATTCCTTAAAAAAAAAAAATTCACATTTCAAATGTGAACCTATTCTTGTGATATCATTTTCAAATCCCGTTAAGATTTAGATTTTCTTTATATAAATATTCCCACTAAAGAGATAACGGAATTTAAGGTCAGGATGTTAGATAACTAAACAAAGGGCTACAAAGATGATTAGGGCTACAAAGATGATTAAGGGAGTGGAGCATCTCCCTTATGAGGAGCGGCTGAGGGAGCTGGGTCGCTTTAGTTTGCAGAAGAGGAGACCGAGGGGAGACCTCATTCATGTTTATAAATATTTAAAGGGTGAGTGTCATGAGGATGGAGCCAGGCTCTTCTCGGTGACAAACAATGATAGGACAAGGGGTAACGGACACAAGCTGGAACACAGGAGGTTCCACTTAAATTTGAGAAGAAACTTCTTCTCAGTGAGGATAACAGAGCACTGGAACAGGCTGCCCAGAGAGGTTGTGGAGTCTCCTTCTCTGGAGACATCCAAAACCCGCCTGGACGGCTTCCTGTTCAACCTCATCTGGGTGTTCCTGCTCCGGCAGGGGGATTGGACTAGATGATCTTTTGAGGTCCCTTCCAATCCCTAACATTCTGTGATTCTGTGACTCTGTGAAACAATGAAAAAATAAAAAGCATGTCATTTTTAGCACTAGGACAACCTTATGTAAGTGTAAGGACTAATATAAGCTCCACTACTTGTGCTACACTTACGTTTATTTACCCTGGGTCAGAAATTTATTGTTAACTTATCCCCCAATTTCAAATTTTGTAGTAACAATTACAGCTAAAAATAGTGCCTATTTGCAACCTCCAAGATTACATATTCTAATGAAATTCCACCATATAATGTCATGTTGGTCCAACGAGTACTCTACTAACAGGGGGAAAATACCCTCAAACAAGTGTAGTTATTTTCCCCAAAACAGTTTCAGCACATTGGTACAAGGCATTTCTCCATCTTATTGCTAAATTCCCTTTTCAAAAAAAAAGTCAATAGTCTGAGAAATTAATCATATTTGATGCAAAAGTGTTCACCTAACACTAATGGTTACGGTACTCATCAGCCTGAAGTTTAGAATCAATCAAATGCTGAAAAAAAACCCATAAAACGTATAAACAAAACTGAACATGGAAAAGCATCAACCCAGAGAGAGTTCCACTGCTTAACAACTCAGTGTAAGTTTAACATAAAAATTCAAGAAATGTTGATTATATTTGCTCCAAAACTTACAGTGCATTTTCCATATCTGCTATACTTTCTTCCATTTTCTGTTACTACGTAGAGGTAAATAAAGTTGTCATGGGATCCAACTGCAAGTAAGGTGCCATCTACAACACAAAATGTTTGATAGAAGTTAACAGAATGTTTGTTTTCCAAACTCTAATGATATCAGATTTATCACTAAGACAATAGTCTCAATTAAACTACTGCTTACGAACTGTATTTAAGGATAAATTAACTGTTTACATTATGCTGTTTTTCAGTCAGTATCTATTTACTTTGCAGGTGTGTTTTTAGGGAAAGTTCTTCCACTTCTGCTTTTTTAAATAAGTGTCCCTTGGACAAGGTATAAAACTTGAGATTGCACTGGATTTCTGGAAATTGTCGACAGCAGGCAGGCTTGAGTTTTCTGCATCACAAAAAATGCAGAACAGTACTTACTCTATAGTTAGCTTAGATTTTTTGAGCGGGTGGGGGCAGGGAGACATGCATATAGATCAGCATGAGATAAGGTCTAAACGACAAGTGGAGCATTCAAACATTACAAGCACTTTTCCAACATGTGTTGTCTCCATTTTAAAAAAATTACATGGGTACAAGCTGCCCTGAATCACGTTCAAATGCCTCTGCAGTGTCAATGATCATCAGTGCTTTGAAATATATTGCTACGCTTGGCAGATGTGGCAGCAGCAGGGGAACATATTGCCCACTGACACGGCAGGTTATCCAAAAGCAAACAAGAAACAGATTTACAGGAGTGTTCTTCCATCCAGTTTTAACAGAGAGGATTCAGCCTCTGAGGATCTGTCATGTCATGTCTGAAGAGGATACTCAACACTGGCTTGGACTCCATGTAATCTCACAGCACATACTGAATAAACAGCTCTGGGTTTTATGGCTTTGTATTAATAAACTTGAAAATTAACTAAGAAATATATTAAAGTATTACTGACATACTAAGCTTTTTACAGACTTTTCTGTTCATCTGCCAAGTATTTAGTTGAGAACTCTTAGCTCTTCTGGGAGCAAAGCTAGCATTTATTCTAGCAGTACAGATTAACATGAAAGACAGACTGGGAAAGGTGACCGAAACATCTGCAGTTAAAAACTCCAACATTTAGCATACACAAACAAATCTGTAACCAATTATTCAGTTATATATTAAGCATCTTACACAATTTTTTTTCAAAGCTCTGCCTTTTCTAGTGACTGGGGAGTAGTTTCAGACAGTTTAACAGAACAGACATCTCATTTAACAGCAATTACTCCAAAGTATAAGTCTGCCTACCTACTGAGTAGCGCATCACTGAGAGCTGTTCATTGCCATCAGTGTGTATTGAGACCAGATCCCTCGTTTCTGCATCCAAAACAAACCACCTAGAGAGAGAATTCCAAAGAGAATCACTTCCACTAAACAAAAAAGCAAGCAAAGGAGCAATAACCACTGCCTGCCTTCATTTTCTCATGCTTGCCCCTCAAGGACAGCGCAGCGAACATCTGTTTTTAATGGAACACTTTTCTGGTTCATAAAGTAATACGTGATCCAGTGAAGAATATATAAAAGGTTCTAAATGCAGCCCAATTTTTTCCTCCTCCCTTGAACACTGCAGTAATCACCAAAATGTCTACTGGATGATAAACATGCCACCAGATTGCTAATATGGCTGTACCTTATCATCCTGAAGCCTTAAGGCTACAGCTGAGTTTTAATCTTCTTCCCCATTTTGAAGAACACCTTTGATTTAAAAATTTATCTTTCAATTTGTACAAAGCAAAGTTAAAAAAAAAATTGAAGTAATAGAAGGGAGTAGAAAACACTTTCATACTAATTTTAAACACAAAGTATATTTTAATTTGGTATTTTCCATTTATATGAATAATTTTATCACAGTAAGAAGAAATAACCATTTATTGAAATTTGACAGTTTATAACCTAGCATTTTTTTAAATTTCCTGCTTGGATGATCTGTAACTAAGGTAATTAAGTGGACTGTTTAATATTTAACAACAGCTTTTATCCTGCAGTATTAGTTACGAAGCACAAGTAAACAGCTCAGAGAAGCTTAAAAAAGCTTCAGTGGCCCATACACTGAAATAGCTACTGACAGCAAAAAGGTAAGATCAGCAGAACCAGAGCATTCTGCAATTATTCTGATGCCCATCTAACTCCTAAATAATACAGCAAAAAATAGCAATGATAATTTAATAAAAATATAAATGCATACACATATATAATGAAAATGTAAGATGTCAACATGGCTAAATGCATTACAGCTGTAATCAGAATTTAATTTATTGGCTTCAAGCTGTGCCTGATCTCACAACGGCATGCATACGCTGCAGCCAGGTTTCCATCCCTGGTGACAAACGGTGATTCCACACGCTGTGGAAACAAGGAAGGCAATTCCACCCACTGCGTCAGTGAACTCAGTGGAACACCGCTAAAGTTAGGACCATTTATTTCATAACAAACTTATGTAACCTAAAATAAACTCCAGGAACAACAGTGTGCATCGCTGCTTTCTATGGATAGAGATGAGATTCCAGCTTGTGCTGATCCAGTGTCTGGCAGCTAGGTATCAGGAAAGTGGCCTGGTCCCAGTGCCTTAAGCCAGCTTGTGGTTAGAGAACCACATGAAAGAAATTAAATTACATACATATAACAACATTGAGACCCATATGCCACAGGCTGTTGAATAATCTGTGTGCAAGACAGATGCAACCAGGGGAAAACAGCTAATATGTTTGCAGTGGACAGCAGCAGAAACCACGCTCATTGTTTCTCAGCTGTAATCCTCTGCTGATTTCCATTCTATGCTCTTTGCTATGTGGGTTCTCTGAATAAATTAGGAGTCACAAGTTGCTATTCTGCTATTTAGTTCAAACTATGCCCTCCTTTGGCCTTGCCAAATGCTCCACTAAAATGTTACCTAGCTGATAAACCTGACAGGCATATGGATATTAAGGAACCAAAATAAGTTAAAACAACAATAACGACAACAAATCCCAAAACCAAAACAAACAAAAAAACCCCACAAAACCAAAAAAACCTCAATCAAAACCACAAAAGCATTTGGAAAGGGGGAAGAGAGACAGTCCCTATGCCATTCTGCCACCATAAAATGAAATACAATCACTCCATCATGACACCAAAACTGCTCTAAAAGTACACCCTGATGGGACAACAGAAGTGTGAACACATCACTGAGTTGAAGTGACACGGTTTTCAACCAACACGAAAAGCTGGTTTGAAAGTGCCTCACCATCTCATTCTTATTTTTTGTTTTCCTGAATCTAGCACAGGATGAAGGCTCCTCAATGCACCTCTTGCCAGCAAAACAGGAGATATGAAGCATGAAGCCAACCTTTTATTTTACCAGAGAACTTGGGCACTGTACCCTGAAATCTATTTATCTAGCAGGATGACATAGCATAATTCCTCCTCGTTTATCCTGAGCGGCATAATTGCGGTGCCTGGATATAAAAATGCATTTTCAGCACAGTAACAACCAAAAGCAGCCTTCCTCCACAAATCGGATGGGTACCCCCTTCCTATGCCCTCCCACAGGTGACTGTGCTGCACAGCACTTCTGTCAGACAGCCCACAGGAGGGCTGAGCCCTCCGTGTCCCAAAATACTCAGCCGGAGTAGGGAGGCTGCTGTGGCAGAGACTTGCCTCTTGATTCTGGCCCCAAGACTGGCTTTTAAAGTTCATCTTTTAAGGCTGTTACTGAATCAGGTAATCCTGCAGTTAACTTCACTTAAAATGACAGATACCCTAAGCTTAAATTGCAACCAGAAATACATGCAATACTCTTCCCATTTTACTGAAAGCACAGAAGTGGTATTGTGTGATATCAAACACAATACAAAACTTCTGCTGCTCTTAAGAGCTGGTCTTCATTTGACGTTAGGAGACAGTGTTTTGTGACACCAGTCCTTCTTCAAATATTTTTCTGAACAAGAGATATTAGCAGCAGTATTAGCTGACCAAGGAAACAGTCAGTGCGCTGCAACAATTTTGATACTCATTTATGAAACGAAGCATTGGTCACATCTCGTTCAGCTGTTTCCTGATGCTTCCACAAACTGTAATCAGAAATGCACTCTTCAGACTTCTAAACTCTCCCAGTGCCATGGCAAATACTGCACTGCCAACCAGAGAACCCGTCTCCACAAAATGTGTCCCCAGTCTAGCAGCTACAGCAGCTCATCAGCGCACCCCACACAGGCCTTTCTCGCCAGCAGCTGAGGTCCACCTTGAGACTGTGCTTCGGGAGAGGATCTTCTCTCCAACACGTAGGTATGCAACATGCAAACAGCAGCTGACCCTGGAAAAGTCCTAAGGGCTGTGAAATGTGCAAAGCTTGGCTGCCAAATGAACTTCTGATCTGTAAATTGGATTAAATAAACAGATGAATGGTATCCCAGCTGTAAGATAATGGCTCTTTTGCTTGTTCTGATTTTTATTGATTTTTCTCTCAATTGTTACCAAAGATAACATGCTTAACTTGTGATCATGTAAACAAGAGAGAACTTTTGCCATTTTCATTTGCTTTTTGTCTTCCCATTCCTTTGCTTTAAAAAAATACTGATAACCTATCTAAAAAAAAGTATGCTTTTAGAAACAAAACCCGTTAAACTACTCTCTTTTGGAAAACAAATTCTGACCCATGATAGACATTTATTACTGATAATTCACATCTGTGAAGGCAGAACTTTTCTGATGAAGTCACTAGGGAAATAGTATTCCATAGTAGTAATAAATTTTTGCACTTATACTTGCAATTCTCATGTTTAGTTAATACTGAATGTTGAGCCTGCAAGGCATTAATCAGGGTGAACAAACCAACTCATCTTACAAGATTGATTCCCTGGGATATTTAGCCTTCTTCATTTTAATACCACAGCAGATACCGAACCGGTATAAATCTCAATAGCTCTATTGACTGATTTACCTCCTTGTGGCTCTGGCTTAGGCTGTTCTTGTCCTTCAGTCATTAGTTTTCTTGACAACGTTGTTGTTATTATTTTAAGAACCTTATTAGTCTTTTTTTTCTGCAGTGCTTTTGTGTACTCACACACACAGCACAGCACTCAAGCTATTCTACATGATTAGTCACAGAGAGGTCTACTTCCCTGCAAATAATACCACTGGCAAGATGGCAAAAGGATCTGTATAGCACCTTAAAAAACCCACTTTTCTGGTAGGTTTACTGATTGCCAGCCCTTTTTAGTCTTCCAGCTGTGCATTTCCAGCAAACAGCAGAATCCACAAAAGTTATCAGTTCTATTCAAACTAGGCTTAATCCCAGACAATTGATGATCAGGCAGATAGAAGGTATTTAAAGAAGTGGTTAACAAAACCTGCAGCAGACCATTTGCAGACAGCCCAAAAAGGGAAATGATAACTCAAATACTCATAATGGGGAGTGGTGCACGAAACGCACACCAAAACAATGGTATGTTAGCCTGATAAAAACACACAGCTGTGAAACAACAGAGAAGAATGGGAAGAGAGGCAGAAAATTCAGTTTTCTTCAGATGTCACGATTTTAACCACCAAACTCAGCTTTCTTAATGTTCCATTCCCTACCTCTGTCTTACTGACCTGCGTACTGGCAGCAGAGCCGCACTAAAATGGCAACAGCTAGACACATCTAAGGTTTGGTTTTCCTGAGTGCTAAACAGATTAGACTCATTTAATATTTGCTGCGAGTATTTTGTGCTATGAATCAAGTTATTAAATGGCTTGTTATGAGTCTGAGATTATTTTCTTCTACATTAATCGAGATACATCATGCAGCCCTCATTCCTTGGGAAGTAACTCCCTTGGACCAGATTATCTGGCATAGAAAGCACTGTGTGATGGCACTGGTTAGGCAGTAAATTTAAAACCGATCTGTTTAGCTTGATTCACAACTCCATTTATTTCTCATCCACTAGTATACTTACCAGGCCTCATTTCAATTCAGTTTTATTTGTAGAACTCAAACTTATCACTGAATCATGCACTTTCAGAACCCAATAAAATATAATGGTGGAAATACCACTGCTTAATTCCAAGAAGAATGGGGTAAAAAAAAACCCAAACCCAAGGCCACTATCATAAACCTATCCAATACAGTATAAACCAGTTGCATGAAGTAAATTAAAAATAAGAATTTTAACTGAAAAGTGCTGAACTGAAAAAGTAATGTTAAAGTAACAAAGGGGAGAAGTCAATCAAAAGCAAATGACAGATTGAATGCTTCAGGTGCTCAATATGCCTTGATTGTGCTTTGATGTAATTTCAAAAATGTCTAATAACTCTCAAGAAATGTAGCCTGACCTTCTTTTCCCTTTTCCCTGTTTCAAGTACTATTAGGCCAGTATCTTCTGCTCTGTTTAATGAAGGTAGAAATGCATGTTCAGTTTAATGCTGTAAGTAGAAAGAGATGAAAAAACAGAAAGGTACAATATGGAAACCAAATACGCAAAGAGCTCAGCAAGATTTTTCTTGGGAAGAAAACCATGTTTTCGAGCCTGATGTTATACCTAATGAATTTAGTGCAGCCTCTATCTTCACCTTGGAGACAGAAACTCCATAAAAAGTATTAAACATTCTGTTTTTCCAGGAAAGTTTAAGTGTGTTGCATATACTCAGCAGTTTCTAAAAAACAAACTTTAAATGTTTTTTAGCCATGAGGCTAGGTATAGAAAAAATTTCTAGGGGGTGAATAAAACACACAAAAAATCCCCATTTTCTAACATGCACAATGCATTATTTTATCACTAAGTTGTCAACCATGAGATATAACTGAAACACAGGATAAAAATGCTAGTAGATTTGATATCTGCTTCTCTCACCTTTCTAAATACCCTGTTTTTTGTTTTAACTTGTTCCTGCTAAAAATCCATTGCATGGGACTCCTTTCTTGGGAAGTGATACCAAGCCAGAGTTTGACTATGAATTAAAACAATTTTTTTCTACCACTGCAAGAAGCCTGAGTTAAAAAAAACAGCTTGTGTTTTGATAGCTTTTAAATATGTAACGATTTCAGGAAGAATACTAACAGCTCAACAGCACTTCATTGAAGCAAAGTGCTATATTGAATTTTTTCTTGTACAAAAATCAAAACCCCAGCCTGTTCTCTCGCCTCTCCATGTCAATTTAAAAAGTTGCAAGTGTGTTTGATTTGGGAAAGAGAAAGATCTGTACTGTATCTGTGTTACAACCTAATGTAACATACACACAATAATAAAATATATGATACTTGGTAAAGCAAATAAGGAGGGTGCATGGAAGCCTGTGCAAAAAATAGTGTTTTTTTTAAAAAACGCAACAAGATCTGGGCTTTCATGAAAGAGTAGTTAAAAAACCAGAACAGCCTAACAACAGTCAAATAATCCTTCTGTCTTCACCATGTAAGAAAGATCTGCTCTTTTCCCTCAAGATTTTTAGGCTACTTAACCTCAAAGTAAAGAGGAAAAAAAAAAAAAAGCAAATGTATTCCTGTATATAAGATGCTTAGTAACAAACTGCCTCCATTAAACTTTCAATCATCACAACTCAGTCAAAAGGCAATTACCTGCCCGAGTGCGTTCCTATTGCGACCACTGCTCCACTGGGATGGAAGTCAGCACAGTGCCCCGGTTCCTGAACAGAGAGGCACAGACATGTCATTTACTCGCCTGCTTCCTTACAGCCAAACACCTCTCCTTGTACCAAAGCTACCCTAAAAGTCTGAGATGAACTGACACAGGGAAAACCAATCGGTTAGCACCGTGCCTGTAATCCTCAGACAGATTTTCTTTTAATGTATCGGTGATATGCACTACATGGTCTTCTTTAAAGCCTACATTTCTGTGCAAAAAGAATCTTTTGCTTGGGTATGAGGACAGAACTAGCCAAAATATGAAATGAGCAATGACAGTAAGGAAAGACATTTAAAGCCAAACCCTGCAAAACTGTATGATATTCTTTTCAGATTGTTTGAATAATTGGGAAAAAAGTTAAATTGCAACAAGAACAAAGGACTAAGTTTTATTCAACTAGGATTATCATAATGGCATCAGACAATTGTAACCAGATTACAGTTCATATAATGTCTGAGGAGTCTGGTTAAGTTTATCAAAGCTTCCAAATAGCTGTTTTTAAAGATATAAGTACAGGATTTCTGCTTCTCTTGCAATCAGATGGGACAAGGGTGTTGCAGAAAACAAATGCTTTTTCCTATTTTCCCACTTTATATTTAACATTAAAGGGCTGACGTACATCTAGCAGTCTGGTCCATTCCAGTGTGTGGTCCACAGAGTTCCACATACAAACTTGCCTATCTTGGGCACAGGTTAAAAATAAGTCTTTGAAAGGATGCGATGCCAGTCCCCAGAGTTCATCTGTATGTCCCTGGAAAGGAAATGCATATGATTTAACAACAAATAAAATAAAGATTCTCTTAAAATAACACACTGGTAGGGAAATCCTTTACATTTTGAGTTATAGTTTAAAAAAAGAATAAAAAATTGTGCTTACCTGTACCTCTACTAGGAAACCATCGTTAAATGTTGCCCGCAAAATGAAGTTTCGTGAAGTACCCACTAAAAATTGATCTGCTTTTCCTTCCGCTACTGCTCTGATTGTTCCGTACTGGTCAGGCACCTAGAAAGAGAAACATCTGTAAAACCATATCACACATCTTGGTAGGCACTTATATGCACTCCACAACCTTACAACTCATCTTATATGGGTACAAATAATAAATACATAGCTAATGTTTACTTCTCAAAACACGTTGTGAAAAATAAGAAGAAACTTTTGTAGCACACGGTAAATGCTTCAGGATTTTCTTAATGCTTCCTGATTAGCCGTAAGTAAATTTTCATATGCTGTCTGTCAGCAATGATTCTGAATTTTACTGAGTTTGTTTATTGCATTCTTGAATTATAATACACTGCTTTATTGTATAGTGTGCATCTGTTTGGTTTTCTAAATGATTTATCTTTAGAAAATACACTAACTTTAATATTAGTCACAGAAGACACAAAATAAATGCAATCATTCAGAAAGTTACCTGTCAGGATTCTGGTAATATTTCTCAACATAAAAAAATTAGCTTTAACATAATATTGTTAACAAAAGGAAAATAGAAATACTGATATGCATAGAGTGAGTTAGTTAAGCCTAAGAGTTGTATATGACATATGTATATATCAATGCTTACTTACTCTCAGACTTGTCTTCTAAAGGTCAATATTAGATTCAAGGTAATAACAATCTCTAGATAGAACTAAACATACATATTAAGGAAAAAATGCTGCTATAAATGGACACTAGGTAAGAGGAATAAACAATTATTAAAACTACTGTTTAAGAAGAACACATGATTGAAAGAGGTAATTTTTTGTCAAGAAAAATGCTAAGTATTTTAAAATCCATAATGTACAGCTTTTTTTCCAGTTCCTCCCCATTTACTTAGCACTGCCATACAGCCAAATCACAAAGACATACATATTCACTGAACACCTGTTTTAGGATAAAGTTAAATTAATCATTAATTCTTACAGAATACCCATATGTATCCTACCAATTGTTTGCCTTATGTAAAAAAATCTATTAAAACACTCAATTCCTGGTAACACTATCTTGCTTCAGAAAGGCAAACAGAAACACAGGTGATACTAAAGAATACACTCAAAAAAGGGATGAATAAAAGAAACTAAGAAAGGTTTAGAAAAGTCTTAAAATTTCTGTTCAGCTTAAACAGAGACTTGAAGCCTCATATAGGCTCATTTATAGGCAGAAACCCTTTTATTATAAAACATTGTCATCCACTTAAAATGACAGCAGCCAAAAGATATACTATCATCCTAACCACCGATTCTCCAAATGGTGGAGAGAGCTCCTTCTTGCCAGTCAATACTTTGCCCTTGTTACTTTTGCTTTCTTACCTCAATTTCCCTTTCGGGATTCAAATCATGATCCCACAGGATGATCTTTCGGTCTTTCCCACCTCCAGTTAGCAGCATCCCATTCCTCATTTGACAGAGTGTGAATACACTGCCATCGTGAGCTTTGATTTGTCTGCTTATCTGATATACTCCTACATTCAGAAAAAGAAAATAATAAAGAACGTTACTCATTTTTTTCACCTGAGGTTTACAAGAAGCTGTGCCTTTTGGCAGAAGAATAAAGTAACAGTGTATAATAAATAATTACATTTGGACTGTGAAGCTATTAGTACTGCATTAGTATTGCAAACACAAGGTGGTACTGTTTTCTTACAGGATAAAAAGATAAAACAAAGGACCTGTCCTTCTGAATAGAAACTTTTTTGAGATAGAATGTCCTACAACTTATGAAGGCAAGAACAACCACGATTTGCAAAATGCTTTCATTTCTCTGCTATCCAAGGGAACACGCTTTTTCCAGATACAAGAGAAACTGTCCTTTAGAGTCAATAAATATTTAGCAAGTCATTATTAGAAAAGAATTAAAGCTATTTTATTAAAGAAACTCAAAGACTCATCTATAGTCTTATGGGAATAAAAAGCAAATTATTTATAGAAAGCTTCCAGGATGTATGAACCCAGTATCTAATGCTGGATGTTGCCTTACTTCAAAACAGTGTAACCAGCATTTGGCATCTATCAATATAGCAGTCTACCCAGAGGAAAACACTAGGAAGAATGAGAGAGAGATGAGAAAATTAAACAACAAAGGTAGCAAAGGAATCCTTTTGTATTCCAATTCGATCTGCTGTAGGAAAATATATTTTAAAGAAGGCAAAGATTCTGGTGCTTTGAGACTTGCATGTTTTCAAATAGCAATCACAGAAAAAGCCTAAAACACCACAGAAATTAAAAACGAGCTTAAATTCGCCGACTCTGCCTATGGCTCAAGTTAGTTCAAGTCAGCATCATCTCACACTGTGAAAAAGAGATCAAGTCCTGTGACCCATCTAATGTGATAAACCAACAAAAAGAACCCATATTTAATTAAGCCAATGTAAATAAATGTTCTATTCAATATCTTTTAAGACTATACTGGGAAAAGGTTATTATTGCACAAGAACTTCAAAATCAAACATCAGATAATTTGTTAAATTACTTTTCCATTGCAGTCAGCTTGAAAGACAAGAAAAAGATTTACCTACAAAAGCAGACTTACCATTAAAAATTTACTTTTTACATGAATGTTTTCCTGGCATACCAATTTAAACCAGAGTGTTTGAAATAGCTGCCAAGTAAAATAAATTATCCTTGAATTTATAAGTTAACTGAGGGCCCAGCTGTGCCAGGTCTGCATATATTGGGTCACAAATAATTTTCCTTCTTTTGTTACAAAAGCTTTGCCCTAAAGAGTATGTTTAATCCAAATTTCAAATAAGATGGGTTTTAAAGTTTACTTTGCAGCCAAGACTTGAGTATCTACTAAACCTGATAGTGTTATTTACATAACTGGTACGACTGCACATTATATTTTTCCTTCACATACAAGTCCTATTAACATCAGCTTCAACACTTAACTGTATTCCTCTGTGACTAAGAACAGTACAACACAAGCCTCAACAGGCAAGAGTAGCCTGCAGAATCCTCAAATTGATCCTACAGCATTTTTCAAATCTCAAGATGATAGGAAAGCTGATTAACTGTGCGGGTTTTTAAATGCAAAACATTTAGATAAAGTAGTTTTTATTCACTTCAGTCAGTCTCATTAATTACTGCGAAACTCTAGATTGCTCTTAAGTCAGCAAATTCATGAGACTTAAAGTAGTTTAGTACCACCTGTTAATAATACGAAGTATACAACCTTAGTCAAGCCTGTTTCCCTATTCTTTTTCTAATACAATCCTTTATTTTTGTCTTCTACAGGCTAAAATCTATGATTAACTGTGAATGGGTCTTACCTTTAGGTCCTTTTCCTGGAGTAGATTCTACAGTAGTTTTGCCCCATATAAGTATTATCCCACCTGAGTCTCCAGTGAGCACATCACCATTTCCCAAAAAAGCCAAGCACTGAACAAATTTGGGTTTTTCATATTTCTAAAACAAAATAAGCAAAAGAAAGGGATAACTGCTTGTATTCTTTATGTAATTAGTATAACCGTATCCACACTTATACAATCTGCACACATGAAGCAGAATTTAAACTTCTTCTTTTTATTCACCTCTCTGCTCAAACAATGCACGGTAACAACGAAGCAAATTTATAGAAAGCGTGAGTAGATCATTCCACTGATTTAAAACTGATCTGATATTAAGACATTCTTACCCCAAATATCCCTTGCTTCCTTGACAATGAATTACCACTCCAGGTCCAGAAAAATATATGAGATTTGCCACATGTTATTATAGTATTTGCATCAGTTGGATGGAATTCTACAGCAAGAACAACTTCATTTGTAGTCTGAAATAATAACAAAAATAGTATTTATTCAGATGGGACATTAACTACTAGAAACAGATGTAAAATGCCAAGTTTCAGAACAGAGGTATGAGGAACTAGAAGCTCATCATATGCTTCAAAGAATCCATAAGTGTTCTGTGCTAAATCAAATGTAATTTTTTTTATATATATATTGATTTTTTTTACATTAAGAAGAGATCTTTAGTCAAGGTTTTACATCCAATAGATTTTACAAATATAATGAACTGACCAGTCACTTATCTAACTTCTAATTCAACCAAACTATCTTTGAAGACAATCTCCTGGAGGCAATGACTGTACAAAACACTTAAGTAAATGCATCAATGCATTTACTCCTATGGGATTTAAGCTGATGTTTTAATGGGGTATCCATAAAAGGGCTGCTGAACAGGCACCTGAGGGAGTGCCCCTTCCCCACTTCACCGTTTTTTGGCTCATTCCAGGAAGACAACCTTCTTAAGTCTCATTTTTTTGTTGATGGCCATATTTATTGAATTACGCTTTTTACACAGTTTCTTCCACATGAACAGATCTACTATATCCACAAATTGTATGGAAACTAAGGACTGAAAATTTAAATGGAGTTCAGCTGAGAAAACGCTTCTGTTTTGCACCCTAGCTCAAGGGATGAAACTCTACTCTGCTCACACCAACTATCATGGAAGGTGCTTAAGATACTGCAAGATCAAGCCCAGTACTTATTCACGTTTAGAAGGGCAAGCTGTCCCTGACAAATTGTTTTCAGACAATTCTGAAACACCAGGGAACTCCCTGAAGAGTGAAAATAGTTCAAAACATAATGCCAATAAAATGGGAAATACAAGGCATATGCCAATAAAATGGGAAATACAAGGCATATGCCAAAGAGCTTCATGTTAAATATCAGCAAGGAAATGAAAATACTGACACAGAATTAAAACTTAAGCACAGAATATAATTAATATTGGACAACGTAATTTAAAGAAAATTAGTGAAACCAACCTGATTTTGTCATCTGAAATTGAAAGCTTGTAATCACATAGACATACATGCTTGTGGAGTATTTCACTTGCTGACTCACGATTAAAAAAAATAATAAAAGATACTCAGTTCCACAACTATGCAGTATCTCCATGCCTGACAATGTACAACACAAAGCAGTATGTCTCAACATATGGACTTCAAGAATAAGTTATTATTGGATTGGGTGTTTCCAGTGATATCAACTTTACATGAACATTGCCGCACCTCGAGTACTGTGTTCAGTTCTGGGCCTCTCACTGTAAGAAGGATGTTGAGATTCTGGAGCGTGTTCAGAGAAGAGCCACAAGGATGGTGAGGGGTCTGGAGAACAAGCCTTATGAGGAGCGGCTAAGGGAACTGGGCTTGTTTAGCCTGGAGAAGAGAAGGCTGAGGGGAGACCTCATCACCACCTACAACTACCTAAAGGGAGGTTGTAGAGAGGTGGGTGCTGGTCTTTTCTCCCAGGTGATGGAGGATAGAACAAGGGGAAACAGCACCAAGCTGTGCCAAGGGAGGTTCAGGTTAGAGATAAGGAGGAAGTTCTTTACTGAAAGGGTTGTCAGAGGCTGGAACAGGCTGCCCAGGGAGGTGGTGGAGTCACCATCCCTGGATGTGCTTAAAAAGCGAGTAGATGACGTACTTAAGGATCTGGTTTAGGGGGTAGACAGGAACGGTTGGACATGATGATCTCAGAGGTCTTTTCCAACCGAGCGATTCTGTGATTGAGCACAACAGCTTTGAATGCTTCTCACTGATCAGAAATTCAGAAGGTTATGAAAGAAATAGGAAAGCAGACAAGATTACAATCTACAAAAGTACTAATGGACTTCAAATGAGAAGAGACATATGTACTGAGAATAAGTGCCTGGAACTCGATTCAGACAAAAATGTAAATAATACATTTACATATTCCTTATTACTTGTTTTTTTTTTTTTAAATAAACTACAGACTGAATCCTCACTTCAGTTTCTCAAAAGTTCCCAAGACTTTTTCTTTTTTAATTAGAAAAATATTAGAGAATCGCTTTATTTGGATTGGGTCTTCGGGTATAAGTAAAATGGAATTAAAAGTGCTCCAATATTCAAAAACCTTCCAAAATAACAGTTAAGAATGAATTACTTTAGTGCCCTTACACAAACCAGTATTGGCACTATTACACAATTGTGTTTTCCAAATAAGACAAAATGTGTGTCTCACAAACTCTTGTATTTTCATGGGAATAAAACCACTTGCATTTCAGAACATTAATTTGTGCAATAATTACCTTTATTTCTGCTATTTTTGATTTCCTCTGCCAGTCCCACACAGTGAGCATGTGCTCATTCGAGTCATCAATTACACACAAGTGAGTACCAGAATCCTAAAGGAAAAAGAAAAAAGTGTTGACAAAGTACCATCAGAACCCATTAAGAGACAGGGCAGCAGTATTTAATAAAAAAACAAACCACAAAGGTACAAATATAAATTAAGCAAGTCATTTTCAAGTAATTATAAGCTCAATATATCTGGTATTTCCTTTTTCTCTTAAAGACAGACACCGATTTTTTGCATAATCTTACAAAAAAGACCATGTTTCAAATAATATTCTAGTAAAGCTTTAAAAGTATCTTACCTTTTTTTTTTCCCTTTTAATTTGTTTTGCTTGCAGGTTTTTTTCCCTTTGGTTGTTTGGTTCTTTTGGGTTTTTTGTTTGTTTTTCTTTCTTGTTTGCAATATCATGCTAGTAGCAAGGAGGTTTCTCCATTTTTCTATTCTGCACATATTTTGTTTTTTTTTCTCAGGTCTCAGAGGACAGACACACAAGCTCCAACTTGCATTTTTTTTTCTTAAATGTCACCATCACATACACACAAATTTACATTATCAACTTTTGTAAGCACATCTCATATTTTCCTCATGGAGTATTAAAAATACCAGTGGTTTCATCACGTAGTTGGTAAAACCGCTGCAAACTTTTGAAGAAAATTATGCTTACAGAGCAGAAAGACTGGCATCTATGGTATTAAATAACTGAAATTGTTTATTCTGAACAATTTTACAACAAAATGGCTAAACAGGATTAAAAGAGCAGACAGAAAATCTAGGCACAAAAACATGCTTATTTGCAGCAACACATACTTGCACAAACCAGTTGTTTCAAGGACATGTGTAGAAAGATTTGGAAGAGACCTTATTTATTTTAAAGTTGATTCTTGCAGTTCAACTGCATTCTTTAACAAATTATAAAAACAGAGGTGGCTGAAAGTTTAATTCTCAAACACTAGTGCTATTATGAGCAGTACTTTGCAAATATACATGCTAATCATTAAAGGAAAGACACCCTCAGGACATTGGTGATACAGACAGCTCCTGCACGGTTTAATGGAATTATGTGGTAAAAAAAAGTTCTAGGTACATACATTCACTCTTTCAGCCCAGTGAGGAATCATATGAGACTGTAATAAGGTATCAAAATCAGTTGCAGCTGCAAAACAAACTAATAAAAACTAAAATCTAGTCCTCAAAAATACCTTAGTGGGTTTTTTTTGTTTATTTTGTTTTTAAAATGATGGGACATGCTTATTCGCCTGGAAAAAAAAAGTATCTGAATTTAAAAGTTTTATTGGTTAGAGTGACAGGAATGACCGTATTCCTATCACATTATTCTATTTTATTTATGCTAGCTCCTATTCATTAAAAAAAATGAAAGGCAAAACCTAGATACAAATATCTTAGCATCATTTCAATGTGTAAGCATTTCTTTTCAATAGGTTGCCCAATGAGACTGTTGAGTCCCCATCCCTGCAGATACCCAGAGCTCAGCTGGACACAGACCAGAGCAATTTGTTCTGCCTGAGCCTGCTGTGAGCAGGCGGGTGGATGAGGTGAGCTCCAGCCACCCCTGCCCACGTCAGCCATCCTGCGAATCTAATAGCAAAATACAGCAGACATTCTTTTCCGCATTTTTTATTTTTTTACGCCTATGAATTCTTCTTGCTGGGATGCAAGAATAACAGGCTGAGTTTTCAGAAGGTCTGATATGTCTTGGTGCTTTGGCAAAAATACAAAGGCAGCTTAAAGATTAAAATATACACATATTTTACAAACCTCCCCCCGCCTGCTAATTTTGACATAAGAACTTCATCAATGCCAAGTAACACATCTCCACTGGCTACTGATTTTTCTGACAAATTCTGTAGGCCTAATAAAAAGACTTCTATTTTATTATGTTTTTTTTGCTATGTAAAGGAAACAAATTGAAGAAATTATTCCTCGGGAAAAAACAGCACAATATGATTTTTTTTTAAATTTCCTGTTAGTGGATAAAAACCTACTCCAGCTGTGCAAGCAAAAAGCTACCCTTTCTATCAGAACTCACTGAAATTTGCCTTCACATACCTCACTGACAAACGTGTTTTTAACATCCAAACAAAAAACCAAGTACCTCACAAACAAAACCAAACTACCAAACCAAGCACATATTTTAATTTCTCGTTAAGGCTTTTCTTGCCTGCTATTTATTTGGTGGTAGTTTGTTACCGCAATTTTACATGTGCAATTTCCTGTTTTTCCAGCTAGCTCACTGTCCACTGGTTTTATAAAGTGTATATATAAAACTTTACTGACACACTTTTAATACCAAAACAGATCAGCTAAACAACCACATACAAACATGTTCAGAGATTTAATTCCCATTTACAGAGGACTGGATAAATTATTTAACACGTGAAGCAATTGTGCCCATCTTACCGCTTTTGAAAAATCCAAACACCCCACTCCACGTTCAAAAGTCCCCATGCCGATAACCTGCAGTGTCACCAGGCTCACCGAGTCCCAGACCCTAACATGGGGCTGCAGAGGCTGTGTGAAGAAGCAATGGGACAAACAGCGTCATCAACAGTGAAAGCATCATATCCAGGTGTCAAGTTTTGTTAGTAGGTAGATGCTACCCGAATCACAAACCGCGGACCGAAATGCAGGATGGCCTGTGCTAACAAAGCTGCTGGAGAGTATTTTGAAGCTCAAAAGGCGAGAGTCAAGACAATCTTGCTCCCTTGCCTCCCAATCTGGGCTACACACATGGCAGTGGTGCCACTGGGGCAAGAAGTTGAGTGGCATGTGATAGCCATGAAAATAATTTTTCCCCCAATTTAAATCATTGAATAAATAATGGAAGAGGTATCTTGCATTTTAGTCCCGAGACCTAGCAATCTTATGCAACTGAAATAAATGTTCAAACTCTGTTTCATATATATATATATATATATGTATACAGTAGGGGAAAAAAACACAAAAAACCCCAAACCCTAGGGGGGTCTGAGTTCTCTAACTATTATCAACCATTCAAGGAAAATGTCCATGGTTTTATTTCATACAAGTACTATCCCAAACCAACTTAGCTTCATAAATGTGAAATAATCACAAAGTGGGAACTGAGTTGGCTTAAGGACAGCATTCACCATAGAAAGTGACAACAAAACAGCTCACTGATGGAAAACCAAACCAACCAGTCCTAACAAGAGATTCAACGAATGTTCAGTGGAAATCATCATAATATCTATACAAAAAAACTTCACATCAGTTTCTTACAAAATGTAAGACATTACATTGAACATCTGAGTAAGGTTTATATTTAATGTGCTTCTCCACATCATAGGATGTCTTTCCCCCCACTTTTTTTTTTCTCTGTCCACAACATCATGAAGACAATGCAATTATTCAGATTTTGACAGTCAGCCAACAGCCAGAGACAAGAACATTTAAAAACACTTGGTCTCAAATGAGGAAGTCTGTAGGAAAGCCTGACACACCTTCCACAGATTTTCAAAGTTGGTTTCCTCTTCCAAGAAGCCTTAAGAGTACACTGACCCACAGAACTGGGCACTTTTTCTCCTCTGGGACAAGACTTATTGAAAGAAATGTGACAGAAATGATGTGGCCCTATAAATCAATTACAAGCTGCACATTTGTTTGCAGAATTAAAATTGAGTTTTCTATGTTACAGATAAAGGACTTTAGGAGCTTCCGCTCTTTTTGATGTATGGCTGAGTGCTTAGTTGCTACTGTCTTTTGCTAGAGATACAGAAACAGCAAGATATCTCAGTAAATGCAGTGCCTAAAATAAACTGCAAACGGAAGATTATGAGATTTAAAAAAACCAAAACACTTTTTCCTGATTTTCAAAACAAGACACTACTGCTCAACAGCTCTATTACTTACCCTTCCATCTTTATCCACTCCAGCTAACTGTCCTGTTGCAATTCTAATTTTGTCTGGATGAACTGCAAGACTAAGACAGACAGAAATATGACTTGCTTTTGCTGTCATAGGTCTTCAAAACTGAGAGGTTTTTTGTAAATTTTTTTTTCTTTCTCAAGAGAAGCCCATGAAGACACTTATGATCCTAAATCCCACTTTTAATGAGACAACTTGAATGTTTTTCATCAGATTATTTCATTACACACTGTACTAACGGGTCAATTGGGCTCTTACGTTGGCTGCTGGCATAAAACCAGGACTGCCAGAAGAGCCACCTCCACATGTGGTCTGACAAATCTCAGGTTTGCACTATATTGGGAGTCCACTGTAACAAAATACACATTGCCTCGTGATGATCTTCCTACACGTAGTTATATGCCATATTTATAAATACTACAGCGTATTTTATGCCTAAACTTACAGATAGCACGAACCTGAGGAAAAAAAACAGCTGAAAAGTTGGCTGAGGGCTTGTGCACCCAGGAGTCAGGGATTACTGCCACTTGAAATGAATTGCTGATGTAATTGTACTAACGAAATTCTCTAGTATGGTGCACTACTAGTGTAAGTAAAAACCTCTGCTTTTGCTTATCACATTTTGCTTAGGAGCTGATGTGACAAAAGAAATAGTGTCATTTCAGAGTACACATCCTCTTAGTCCTAGTGATTTTCTGACCAACCTTCTTGTTTGCTTTCTCTGTAAAATTACAAAGGTGAAAAAAGCCATTGAAACAGGAGAGGGAGTGCAGGGAGTGGAGGGTGCTGAAGAGGTCAGAGTGATGGACACCAAAACCATTTACAATTCAGTCTAGTTTTCTGAATAGAAGTGAAGAACACAAGACTGACAGCAGTCCTCCCACAGGAAAAAATTACAGTTATCAAAGCACAGTCAGGAGAAAAGAGGTTTAGATGGCAACTCTGCTCCATTCAGGTACAGTAAGGAGCTTATGTTGACCATTACATTATGGGCACTACTCTTCAGGCTAACATTGTAAAGGCAGCAACTGCCCTTGCACCCACAATGACGTTGGCTTCAGTTTCCCTGCTTCTCTGTTTTGTTTTGCAAACATCTTTCTGATTTCTCATATAGTCCTAATATTTGGATGGAGCATCTATTTTTAAAAAATGAGGAAGTTATTGCTCAGTTTTCCATATGGTTTTCTGATTCTCCTTTAAGACTACACCCTTTGCCATGCTGTGTGTATATCACTGATTCACAATTAGGCCGACAACTATTTTTAATTTCTCAGACATCTATTTAGAATAATTTACGCAAAGATCCTTTTTCTAATCTGTCACTCTTAGCTCGTCTACCTATTCTGTTGTTTCACATTTAAACCAGAAACCCTAAGGTAGCATGGACTGCTCCAGCACCGTTCACTTGTGCAGTGTCTACTACAGTGCAATCTACTGGGACTGATGAAACAAAAAACAACTACAATTATGAAGACATTAATGAGTTTGTACATACACTAGGAGAGAATAAAAAAAGTACATTTCTGCATTATTACATACTTACATGCAAATATTATATACTAACCATTTAACGCAGTCTGTATGACCCAAGTAGTGTCGCTGAGTTCTCTCCTCATAGTTAAATAGTACCACCACTGATGCTATGAAATACACAATTTCTCCGGTAGGAAGGAGGTAAACATTGGCTCGACAGTCCCTTCCACGATACCCATATCTATACATATTTTTTTTAGAAGTCAAGGTTTTCATAATCACTGTATACTAAAAAAAAACCCCACAACTTTTATTCTTTGTTAATGGATTCCTGAGGAGCTCTCAAGCCAGCGAATGCCCTTTGGAACTATAGCACAATTTCAGTAACACGGTTTAAAAAAAAACAAAACCAACACAAAACACTTCAGGAAACCAAACCTCTTAAAAAGTGATGCTCATTGATATTAAAAATAAAATATATTAAGCACACTTAAGTAAAATAAATACAGTATTGTCATTTTATAAAAACCTCCATGTGAAGTTTCATTAGGTAACAGCAGGTCTCACTGTACTGGCTTAACATTTTTTACAGTAACAGAGCTATAAATCTGCACCCTGGGCACCGGAGTATTACTTCCATTTGGCCTTTCAAAACAAGCATGTGAAAACTCCTAATACCCTTCAGAAAAAGGCAAGCTTCCGCACAGCAGCTGACAAGTTCAGGAAATATTTCTTTAGACTGCTCCAGAGTATTTTTGAAACAAACAAAACTCAAAAGGAACTGACACAGTGAAAAATATTGTATAGAAAACTACCCAAAACGTACAAAAGGAACGATTTTCATAGGAAATCTGCATGACTCCTAGTGACATTCAAAAGTTTTACACACTGCGAATCAGCTTGGTTAGCACTGATCAAACGTTATGACAACTTATTATTTCTTTGAAACAGGTGCAATTTTCTTCATCTAGATAATTAACGTGGCTGCCTGCCTGTACTTCAGTTCCCAGGATCACTATGTCCAATTAACACCAAAATTCAGACTTTAACAGTAGCTCTGTAGCCTTAAAAATGTAATTTTCCTGTTATGTCCTGCATTTCAGAGAGCTCCCCATTTCAGTGCCAACTAAGACACCTGCAACAGGAAGTAAAATATGGGAAATACATTAAGCAGTTTTAGCTCAAGGATTCAGCCCCAGGTCCTGGTTAACTGGGTAAATAAAAAGAAGTCAAAGACCCACATGGAGAAGGCTGGATGGACGAAGTTGGCCCTTTCTCATAAACGAAAGGAGGTGGCAGTAGTCCAGGTTTGGGACTAAAGTGGCATGTCCTAAGCTGACAGCCTGGCTGCTATTCTTGGAAAAGGGCTACCTTTCTACCGAAAATACCACCACACTCCTTCCAATGCCACTCCTCACCTCCAAAAATCCCCTGCCACACTACCTTTGCTCCTTTGCAGTCCCATCAAGCCACAGGACTGCTACACGACAGGAACACTCGCAAAATTAAACACATGCTGTAACTAAATAATGGTTCAAAGAGCGACATAGTGTTCAATTAAATCTCTTAAAGGTACGGAAAACAGATTTATATCTTGCTGTCTTCTTCTTATTATAGAAGAATACAATGGCTCCTCTGAAGCAGAGATTATTGACTGCCTTGCTTAGCAAATGATATCAAGAGAAACGCTGATACAACACAATGCTGAGGGCAGGAAAAAAAAAAGGATGCCTCTGTTTATCCTTCATCACTCTTTCTTTACCACTAAATTTTTCTCTTTCTTCTTCCTCTTTTAAACACTGATAGAACAAAAAGAAAGTCCAGAATGGACTTTTATAAAAAATATACAAGATAAAACCCCAAACCAAACCAACCAGATCACTGAACTTTCAAAAACAGTGGGCTACAAACCAATGAAAATATTTTTTTCTACCTTGAAGCATAAAGAATGCTATTCTAAATACTTTCTCAGAGGAGAAAGGAAGATCTTGTTAATCTGCTGTGTACAATAGGGAGTGTATTGATAAGGATTTATTAAGATTGACATCTTTGAACATTCATCTTAGGAAAGTATTAATGATTTACACAAACAGTCTTTCTACAGCAGAATTCTACCATGCAAAGCTAAAGCTAAATATTTTGGCACCCACCACTGAGCTCTGGCATTCATAAGGATGTAAAAAATGGTTAGATTTTCTCAGTTCATTCCTTTCCCTTACCACTCCTACACAATAAACTACCAAAGAGCAGCTGCATTTTCTAGGAGTGTGTTTCTTGGGAGCATGTAAAGGAACATCCAGCACTGTGGGATACATTTTTTGCTTTCTTCTTTCTTCATCCCAGACTACATTGAGAGAAAACAAGAGGGGCTGCTGCTCCACAGCAGTTTTCCACACACTCAGAACATAGCAGCAGATACATTAATATAATAATTTACTGTTTCTCTCTATGGAAAAGGGGTGACAACTTTGATGCTCAATTCACACTAAATTTCAATGCTAATCTTTTAATGAGACTGATGTTTCAACCAGAGAAATTCAGAGATAATTGTCCACATATTGCGTATGTTTCTCCCCAATTACAAGGACTGTTTTGTCACAACATTTGATATACTTTATATATATATATATATAGCTTTATATA